ATTCACATCTGGCGTAAGATTTGCTTGTCTTAGGGTAATCACAAGGGCGCTTCATGTGGGCCCTTAATTGGGGCGGCCTTAAATCAAGGGGTAGAAGGGACCCTCAATCTGATTCACCTATATATATATATATCTATATTTACATTTATATTTATGTTTATATTTACATTTATATTTATATTTATACAAAATATTTATATCGTTTGCAACCTCTGGTAGGGTCGAGTGGTTGCAGGGTCAGTCGACCATGCTTTGCTTCAGGAAGCCAGACGAATCACTGATGCGGAGGCATGTTGTAGCGGTCCAAATATTCAAGACGCGATGCCATCATCGTCATCATCGATGACATCAGCAAATCCCGTGCTGGCGTTTTGGAGGCGAATGTACTCTGCTGACTCGTGATAGGGATGTCTGCAGATCACGGCCTTTCTAAATATGTTTTTTTATGGATTTTAACATTTTTCTGCCTAAGTAACCCCTAAATAACCTGTAAGGTTAGGGTTTAGGGCTAGGTTGTAGTCAAAAATAGAGACATCTTTGGGAGCACCAAGAAACCCCAACATTGACCCCTCCAAATAGTGGGATTCCCTTAGAATAAGGGCCCCAAGAAGATACCCCTAAACCCTAAACCCTAAACCCTAAACCCTAAACCCTCGATACATGTCCTTAGCATCAGCGCAGGAAAAACAATGCTGGCGCCAGGGCACACGCACTCATCCCTGGTGCCAGACATGTCCTCCCAGGCCTGAAGTGTCCGGACATGTTTGGGTAAAAGTCTAGGGTTTAGGGTTTAGGGTTTAGGGTTTAGGGCTAGGGTTTAGAGTTTAGGGTCTAGGGTTGAGGGTTTAGGGCTTAACGTTCAAGGTTTAGGCGACCCTTGAGGCCCATAAGCCCAAAAGCCATAGTTTGGGGAAAGTTCGCGGTGCTTCCTCTCCAGGATATTGTAGGAGATTTCGGGTCTGAAGAGGGTAAGGGCATTAAGTCCCTCCACCCTACGCCCGAACGCCCCCGCTCCCCTCCAACCTCCGCCCAAACCCTAAGCCCCCCCCCCCCCCCCCCCCCCCCCAAGTGACCCAAAGGCCTATAACTCGCCAGAAACAGTCCAAGACCGTAAGCCCCAAGCCTTGAACTCTAAACCCGAAGCCTCAAACCCTAAACCCCGGACCCGCCTCACCCTGAATCCAGAGCTGCCAAACCCTGATCCCCTAAACACCCTTAACCCTAAACCCCATCAAACCCTCAAACCCTGCAGC